TTTGAATCTGGAATAAAGTATGAAGCCCAGAGGCAACGATTTATCTAGTTTTAATGGTTTCAGCTGCCCTCCCCTCTGGAGGTCACTATACAGGTTGTCCTGAACCCTGCCGCCCCACTCACGGAGGTACCTGCAGAAAGGATGTCCCTTCAGAGCCATGAATCCCATCCTGGTCACTTCTCTTATTTCTGTTAATGGAGGATTTCCAACCTGTTCCTCTTAGTTAACACAGGGGAGAAAGGGCAGGATAAGAGAAAGGAAAATAATTCCTATAATTTTAAAAAATAGATTTGCCAGCATCGTGTCTTTAAATCAAAAACAATCAGAAAGGTGGAAGATTCTCAAATTATAACTTACCAAAATCTATGAATGAGGATAAGCAATGAATGTTTATATTGTTTATATAAAGTTTTATATAGTTTTAATTATTATTTAACACCATTTTATTAAGTAAAACTGCAGCAGCGATATCCGTAGAAGCGGAATGCCCACAGTGTTGTTTACGGAAGTAAGGTACAGCACGGTGAGCAGCCCGGGGTCTGTACTCGGCCACCACTGTTGGAGGAGCAAACTGTACAGCGGCCGAAACTCAGTGTGTCTTCTTTGTCTTTCTCCCTACCAGACTCTTATCGCGAGTCATGAACACAGGGTCACAGTTTGTGATGGAAGGCGTGAAGAACCTGGTGCTGAAGCAGCAGGTGAGCACTTCTCGGAAGACGTTCCTGCCCAGGAATAGATGGCTTTAGGTGTCAGTTTTTGCTGGATTAGTATTCATCTCCGATTACTCCCACCCACACTGTAAATTCGTAGAATTAAGAATTTACTTACAAATCAAAGGGTATGGACATTTTAGTTACTCCTAATAAATATTGCCAAATTATTCTCCAGCAAAGTATCTGTCTAGAAATGCATGTTAAACTCATGGAAGCCCATTGTGATCCTGCACTGTCCTGATGCCCAAGTGTCTAGGGGCACTTGCGCTGTGGAGGTCTAGGATTCAGAAGTAAGAGGCATCAGAAGAGACTGCAGAGATAGAGGCTTGGAATATTGTAACTGTTCTGCTTACATCTATAAGGATTGTTCTGGCTTTTTAATTTTCTAATTTTCATTATGGAGGCATATGTGGAGTTGGCTCTCTCTTTCCACCTTTCCCGGGGTTCCAAGAATGGAACTGGAGTCACTAAGCACCTTTACCTGCTTGAGCCTTTTCATCGGCACTAAAAAGATTGTTTTGAATTGTTTTTATCCGAATAAACATTGTAAGCTATAAATAAATTAGACAAGAATTAAATTGACCAATATGTTAAAAAAAATTAATAGAATTATCAATGTTTCGTTTTGTTTACTAAGTCACTAATAAGAGCTTTTTGTATTTTGTTTTCTGGGCAGCATGAGTTTGTGCATTCTAAATATCAACCCTCACAATAGACAGTGGAATGTGGTGATAATATAAACACAAAGTAGCAGAATTTAGAAATCACCACTGACACACCTTTAAAAAATGAATTTATAAGCAGTGGAAATGCACCAGCTAAAGCTGGAAAGACAAAGCTGGTTGCAGTGTGTGATCTCTGTTCAGGATTATTATTTAAGTAAGAAAACTCAAAATTTTATGCAACTGAAAATTTGAACTCTGAATATTGTATAATAACCATTTCACCGTATAAATGGATATCATAACACTACACTGTACAGTTTAAATGCCGAGCATGCTTCAGTAAAGTGAGCAGGAGTGGGGATAAGATGTTGATAGGCTTTCTTTTAAACCCAGTGGCATTTGGGACAGAGTGAAATGTGGGTAGTCTGTCTAGCAGTGGCTTTATGGTAAGGGCTTGTCTCAACACTCTCTGGTGAAATTGGGTGTGTGGATGGGGATAGATGTGGACCCATATGATCCTGGCTTGTTAATTTTTGTTGCTATGAACACACAGTGATCGAGAAGGAAAGTCACATCAACATTTTATGGCTTCCTCATTCATGATATGAGATTGGAATTAGTCTGTAAATTTGCTTCTAGAACATTGATATTTATCCCTTAGCCTCTATGAATTTTCAGCATCTGCATATGTTCTGTCTCTACTCTTTGAACTCCACATAGGAATTGTCACCTTCCAGCACCCTAATTGGAACAGCAGCGACCCTGTCTCCAATCCTACTCCCATCATGGTCACCAGAGAATCTTCCCACACCCAGAAAGACAAAGTTAGAAATGGCTACCATGGAGCAGTCAACCATGTCAGAGAACTAATTCTAGGAGACTTGGAAAACCTTCCCTCCTGTGGCTATGCAATATTAATATCTGGGGTTTGGCTTTTATGAATATTTTCTTTTTTTTAAGTAATTACACCATTAGAGAGGTTAACATGGTTTTTTATCTAAATCTTTCCAGTAACTAAAATCATAAAACCAGTCTTAGGGAATAGATTTCCCACTGTATATATATTTTTTGATAAATTTCTGCTTCATGAATTATTTCTACTTCATTTAGAACCAGATTTTAGAAATAACCCAAAAGTTATAATTTGTTATGAATGGAACTCTGCCTTTCAAGTCTATGTCTTAACCTTCTGGCAATTAAAAAAAAAATTAGTTGCCAACTAACACAGTAGTGTTTTCTGCCAGACAGGCTAGCCCAGGCCTTTAATCCTAGCACTGGTAGGCAGAAGCAAGTGGATCTCTGTATTTCCCAGGCCACCCAGGAAATTTCCATATGTAGCAAGTCCCAGGCCAGCCAGGGCTACATAATGAAACCCTGCCTCAAAAACAAAAGAAAAAAATAAAGTGATTTCCATTTTATTTCTAAACAGCAATGTCTGAGAATAAAGAGAAATATGCTCAGAACATTTTTCATTTAATTAATTTCATCTGTGCTTTGTTCAGTGAAGTTTACAAACTATGACAGCTGCTCTGTGCACAGAAGAAGACTGGTGTGTTCTACTTGCTGTGTGTGGTCCAAGTGGCTACAATCCAGCTATCCAGTTTTGCCAAGAACTCACAAGAGTTCTTCCTGCCTCTGTCTCCTAAGTGCTGAAATTAAAGGTGTGCACCACCCAGCCAGTCAGTTTTTCCTTCAGTAAAAGTTTGTCCCAGCTCAGCTTCAGCTGACATTTAATACAGCCTGGAGTCTCAGTTGAGAACTGTCCAGGTCAGACTGGTCTGTGACCTCGTCTGTGAGAAGCCATCTTGATCATGTGGGAGGGTCAGGCTCACTGTGGGTTACGGAACCATCCATCTTGGGCTGTATGATAGCCAGGGGTGAACGTATCAGCAAGCCAGCAAGCAGCCTTCTCCGTGGGTTCTGCTTTCCTCTTGAATTAGTGACCTGGAAGTGTAGGCCACATAAACCCTCTTTTCTGGTTTGCTTTTGGCCAGAATGTTTATCCCTGCAACAGAGAGAAAACCAGAGCAGAGTTCTGTGTGAAGAGACTCGGTGTGTAATAAATTTCCCCTTTGGTTACTGAGACAGGGATCACCCCGGTACCCCAGGCTGGCCACTATCATGGGAGTCCTCCTTTCTTTCTTAGCCTACAGTGTGGAGGGAGAAGGGTACTGGCAGCCTTCAGCTTTAGAAAATGCTTACGTTTTCCTGCCCTGGAGCCTATGTATCTTACTTATTATTATGTATGTGTTTGAGTAGTGGCATGTTCAGGCCACAGCATGTATGGCAGTCAGGAGGCTAAAGGGCTCTTATACAGAATTGTATTTTTCAGTGAGAACTTTGGATATTTAGATTGTTTACACCTGTGACATCTTAATTATGTACATAAACTTAGGATGTGTTTAATGGAAAGGTAAGCATGTTTAACTATGGAGTGATTGGGATTGGAGAGATGGCTCAGCAGTTAAGAGCACTGACTGCTTTTCCGGAGGGCCCGGCGTTCAATTCCCAGCACCCACATGGAATCTCACAGCTGTCTGTACCTCCTGTTTCATGAGATCTAACACCCTCAGACAAATAGCCATGTGGGCAAAACACCAGTATACATAAAACAAGTTATTCCAAAAAACTAGAGTGATCAAGTTGTTATTCCAGCATCTAACAAAACACTCATGTTTTCCACAGAATCTACCCGTTACGCGAATTTTAGACAATCTCATGGAGATGAAGTCAAACCCTGTAAGTAACAATTAATTATGTAAATTCTTGGATGTGTCAAACTGACTGAAAGGTGATAAATCCAGATTGACTCGGTTGTGCTCCTAATTACTACTGAGCATGTGCGAGAAAGAATCCACATTCCCAATGGCATCTTTCAGCCATTGTCACAGATACACAGAATTGGGTTTTCTTGGCTACTACAATCATTCTGACTAGGTCTCCTCTGAATTAAATATATACTAACTCGTACATGTTTTAATGTTAATACATCCTAAAGAACACATTTCTATGAGTGAAAAAGAACCAGTGACCATCAGGTGGTATAATGTTGATGTGGGTATAATGTTTATTAGCCTCTGTACCATTGGCTAATAAAGAAGCTGCTTTGGCCTATGGCAGGGCAGAATAGAGGTAGGCAGGAAAACTAAACTGAATGCAGGGAGAAAGAAGGCGGAGTCAGGCAGATGCCAGAGCCTTACCAGTAGGTCACAGCCTCGTGGTGATATAAGGATTAATAGAAATGGGTTAAGATGTAAGAGCTAGCTAGAAATATGCCTGAGTTATGGGCCAAACAGTGTTGTAATTAGTATAGTTTCTGTGTGATTATTCGGATCTGAGCAGTCAGAAAATGAACAAGCAGTCTCTGTTTACATGATGTAAGGAGAAGCAGTGCAGTTTAAGGAAATCCTATTAGGTGAGAAATGTATAGTAAAACTTCTGAGTATTTCAGATGGCTCTAAATTCCTCTGGGCCCAACAAGTAAATCAAAAACAATTGTTGGCAGAATAAACAACAGATAGTTAGCATTTGCTTGACAAATATTTTTCCAGACTATCAGCTGGGCACTCACGGAGGTGACTCAGAACACTAGCACCGAGGTGGTTTTCCAGGAATCAGCGCAGAGCGGCATCGTCAGAGCTTACTTTAGTCAGGCTGCTGTAGACGTGGCGGTGAGGGGAGGACTTCAGACCTGAAGAAATGAGAACAGAATATTGAGACCAGTGTGACTCTTTTAGTAATTGTTAAAATATGGTTATGGAAACTAGCAAAAACAATTTTTAAATTCACTCATGTGGAAACTGAAACACCATAAAATGTGCAGCTGCTGTTATGAAAATTATGGGAAAATTATACACAATAAACTTAAAAAGATTCTTGTGTTTAAGAATCTATAAATGTGGTACACAGCCTTAATCCCAGCACTCAGGAGTCAGAGGCAGGCAGATCGCTGTGAGTTTGAGGCCAGCCTGGTATAGAGTGAGTTCCCGACAATCTCCAAAGCTACAGAGAAACTATGTCTCAAAAAACCAAAAATAAAAAAAAAAGAAAAAAGAAACCAAATCTGTATAGATGGTAGTGATATACAGTGCAATTGCAACTGACTTTGACTCCTAGACTAAGCGGCCCTCAAAAAGAGGCCTGAGTTTATGACCATTTGTCTTAGAAAACACCTCATTACGCTCAGTGTCCCATCTGAAAGGTGGCCCAAGCATAATAAAGGTCAGAATACAAATGAATGCAAAACTCCAGGAGACAAGTGCATTAGGTGATTTGTTATTGTTCCCCATCCTGATGTTCTGTGCAGACCACTAACTATGATAGCAGATACATGTATGTGTGGGGATGTGCCAGAAACCACTCAGCGAATTCATACCTTAGAAGTCATTTAATCCTCAGTTAAACCACTAAGAAAGGTGCTGTTTTTATTATACTTGTGTTATAGACGAGGAAAATGAAAGATGAGGTCAGTTAACTTGCTAGGGGTTATACCACTGATCGATAGCAGTTTGGGGGTTTTCTGAGGCCAGAGTTCTACCATTATACTGTTAGTAGGAACCGTGTGTCCTTCACAGAACTAGAGAGGTCATTACAGGTCATCTAACAACAGAAGAAAGGGAGCAGGAGACAGGTGGCCGCTTCATGCAGTAGACTTGAGATCCAGCCCTGCTCCTCATCCTGGTCCTAGTCACAACCGTTCCTTCCACGTGCTTTACAATAAACACATGGATGGCTAAATTTGATGAGTCTTACACAGATGTTTCTCTGAGCTGTACAAGTTCACTTATCAGTACTGTTGAGTTTATAATCACAGGCGGATCTTGTAATTAGAAGAGATACTTTTTCTGTTTTGAAAGCATTTCATCATCCATCTGCTATGTAAGGTAGCTGTCTGCACTCCCGTTCCTCTCTCGTTCGTACAGTAAGGTAGAGCTGGCAGGTGATAGTGAATGACTGGAGCAGCCATCTCACCTTAGCTGCTTTCAAATCCTGGAGCACGGACTGGCCTGTAGCTCAGCTGGTAGACTGCTTGCCTAGCATGTGCAGGCTCTGGGCCGATCTCCAGGACCATGTGAACCTAGCATAGCGACAGGTGCCTGTACTCAGTACTTGTGAACCTAGCATGGTGACAAGTTCCTGAATTCAGTACTTGGAAGGTAGGAGCAGGGGAATTTGGAGTTTGAGGTCATCCATGGCTACTCAGTTGGAGGCTAGTCTAGGCTATATAAGACGCCCTCCCATTCTGATTACATTTGTGTGTGCACACACATACATTACACATGTAGTAAGAGGACAACTTGTGGGACCTGGGGATCAAGTGCAGGTCATCAAGCTTAGCAGCAAGTGTGACTTGCTGGTCACTTACACTTGGTAAGTGTTCTCCTGTGTTGATCTGAGTATTGACCACCAGGTCAGAAAGTCCAGCTAGGAGGGGTTCCCCCAGTGACATGTGAGGAGTCCGACCACACGTAGGGTGCTGTGTTGATCTAGTTTCAGGACTGACTGAGTAGTGGCAGCCTGTGTGTGTTTGTCCTTCACCAGGTATCGGGGTGGGGCTGAATTGTTCAGTTTAAAGACAGATCAGGAAGTAATTATACCATGAAGTAACGGACTGTACTTCACAATTCCTTTACTATCAAGAAGCTTCCAATTTAGCATAAAATTCAACAACTTCTAGAGTCGGGAAAACTTGAACAGCTAGAAGAGTGTGGGTGACTTGGTCTGGGCAGGCCTCACCTGGACTAACCTGAGGACATGAATGTTAGCATGAAACGTTTAGTTCATGTATTTATCTGTAGAAATCCTAATGCATTAGGTGGGGAAATGTTGGCCACATATACACTTGATATCCAGTATTATCTAAATTTTTTATTCTAAATTCTAAAGTTGATCTGGTTCCAACATTTGCACATAAAGGACTGAGCCTCTTATATGCATCTGTATACTCAGTAAAGCTCTGGACACAGAATGACGAAGTCTGAAACAAAGACCCTGGGCATTAAAACTGCACGTGCAGGTGGTTCACATCCTAGAGTTCCTACCTTTATTACTAAATATGTGACCACAGAAAAGTCACATGGCCTCCTGTCATTCCAACTTGCCCATCTAAAACTGGGCTAAAAATAGGAACTGCCATAGACTGAAGATTAGTGCGTAGTTTCATGTAAAGCACTGAAAATACAGCTTCTTAACACATAGAGACAGTCATTACAATCTGTGAAATTGGAAGGTGTGTTACAATCAAATTCTGTGCTGTACCATGACCTTCTAAACAGAAATCTCATAGTCATGGCAATGTATTTTATTTTTGTTTTTAATAGGAAACTGATGATTATAGATATTTTGATCCCAAAATGCTGCGGAGCAATGACAGGTAAGAATCTTTTCTCTTGGGTGGTATTTGTTGTCTGTTCCCTCTGAAAATGGAATAACGTTGTAAAGACAGTCTGCTTTCTACTAACATTCTGACTGTGAGAGACCAGTTAAAAACAGTGTATTTTAATCTCCTTCAGAGCTAATCACAGGCAATTATGATTAGTGTCTTGCTGTTTTCCCTTAGTGTATATACAGAGAAATAAAGTTAGCTGTTTACTATTTGTGAAATGGTGTTATCATAAACAAAATGGGGAATTTAGAGAAAGTATTTTTAAATGAATATGATTACTGGACTAAATGAAAAGAAAATAACTGTTGGAAACTGATGTTTAAGGTGGTGGTTTGTTGTGTGAAATCAATGCAGCTTCTGTAAAAGCACTTTATGGCAATGAAACAACTCACGGTATAGTGTCTGCATTTTATGGAAGACATGATATGGTAATTGGCTGTGCTTATGTTACTTTTCAAGGGCTAATTCATGGTAGTTAAGAAAAATAACCTAAAAGACAGCTGACAGAGAAGGAAATAACTGAATATCCCTAGCAGTAAAACTTTGGGAGCAAATTCCTTGCCTGTGCCTGCCATTGAGACCTTCAGCACTTTGTATTTGTCCTTCTCCCAAGCATTCACGTCTTTGTGGGTTGTCGGGACCGATGATCTAGCTGCTAGATTATTAGGTAATTTCAAGTGTTCTCTTTTCTGAACTTAGCAGAAGTGCTGTTACATAAGAACTTCCAATAATAGCTATCACTGGCAAGAGAGAAATTTGACAGCAAATTATAGAACAGGGTATGGGGACTGAGCGCCAGTGGGACAGGGTTTCCCTTTAGGAGTGATGAGAATGTTAGATTGGATACACTAAAACCCACGATCTTTTCTTCACAGCGGATGTGTAACTGTCTGGACTAGTAACTCTTCCTGGCAGTTGGCTAAGCAGGAGCCATAGAAACTGAGGACTGTTCAATCCTAAGTGAATCATATATACGATAGTCAGAAGGAATATTAGCATTGCTAAAGCACACAGGCTCAGAGCTTTCTTTTTGCGGCCTTCTCCTAAGCTATCCTATCCGAAACCATGGTTATTAGTAGCTCGTGGTCCTGAGCTATTTAAGTGTACCTCCTGTCTACCTCAGCGGAGATATTGAGAATTTTGATCAGGTGGCCATCTAGCCATTTCTGTGGTGTATGGACTGTTTAGGCTGTAGACGTGAGGAAAGATGGCAGAGGTGTGCTTAGCTAAACAGTTAAACTCTCCTTATCACTCTGTCCATGCTTGTTTAATTCTCACGTGTAGCGCTGACATGTGAAGGCCTGGAAAGATGTGTTTAGTAAAGAGTTGGTGGATGCCAGTGAAGTGTTTTCACAATGTATGACCTGTGATAACTAAGAGGCTAGAGCAGTGTGTCTCCTCCCGTCTTCCCTCCCATCCTGAGGAAGATGCCACGGGCTGTTTAGCTCATGACCTGCTTTATTGCTTCGCCTGGTCCCAGCTTACTTTCCTTGGCATAGATGCTGTTGGTCAGCCTTCTAGAATTCATGTCAAAGTTGCTAGTAGGTCATCCCATTCCCTTTTAGACATTGAGATGTCTACCTTCTAGCTCCTTCCTCTACAAAGCTGAAGAACCCCTGCTTACCAAGAAGGTGGACCTGGATACCTTCTTAATGCTGCTCACACGTGCACATGAACATGTTTTCCTATACCCGTCTTTCCTGTAATAGAAGCCAACAATGAAATTTTCAGTGCAGTTTCTCTTTATTGCAGCTCAGTTCCTAGGAACAAAAATCCATTCCAAGAGGTAAGTTTTGCACAACCTTCTCTGCTCTTAGATAATTAACAGTAGTCCTGAGGCAGAACGAGTTTGTCATGAGCATAGTTTGTGATCAGTGCTTAGCCATTCAGGTCAATCCAACTCTGCACATCCAGGATCCTGCCGTCAAGTCCTCAGCAACTCTGTTGCTCTGGTTTTCTAAGAGTGACAGAATAGCGGGAAAGGAATCTTTTGTATTGCAGTGAGAATTTTACATGCGGAATTTCAGCATTGTGAAGATGTGAATACAGACACTTCTTGTTTTGAGTGCCATGCTGAAGTTGTACCGTGGGCTTTCCAGTCCTGCCTACAGCAAATAGTAAAGATTCAGAGCTAGCCTTCATCAAAAGCAATCTGCCCTCGGTTTCTGTTGCTTGACTGGATGATGCAGTTAGACTTGGAAACAGCCCTGGACTTGTGCAGCCTTATCTCAGTGTTAGGACAGGTCCCAGACTAAAGGCCTGCTGCTTGAGAATTAAAATGCTTTAACTGTTTCTTCACCTGTTTCTTCCACTTGCATTTTTAGGCCATTGTCTTTGTGGTAGGAGGAGGCAACTATATTGAATATCAGAATCTTGTTGACTACATAAAGGTACAGTTGGGTCATCTCATTCCATCACTTGCTGTCAGCCTCATTGTACAGCACCTATCCTCACCTCCGCATAACTACTTTCTAAGAGGTGTCTTTTAAAGTTCTGTGTGTGAGCAAGACCAATGGCACAAGCCGGGAGTCCCAGCTACTTGGGAGGCCAAGACAAGAGGATCACTTGAGCCCAAGAGGTCGGGACTAGTCAAGGCCACATGGCACAATCTCATCTCATAAAATTAAAACGCCACGTATAGAGAAAATTGCTGATTTGTTTGTTTTCCTGTTACATTCATTTTTCTACTAAAATTATACTGGACTAGAAAATAATATCATATTGGGTATTAAGTATTTGGGTGCTCCCTTGATATACTTTAACTATTTAGAGACCTCAAGCTCCTATTCTGAGTGTTGTCTCCCTTGAGATAATTTATAGAATTCATTTACCTGACTAACACATGCTTTACACTTCAATCATATTAATATCAATCAGCAACATACTTCTAAAAAGCATTTCAGGTAGCAAATTAGAAATAATGAAATCCTACCTACAAGTCACAAATGAGAAAAAACTAAAAGTACATGAAGCAGGAAGCCTAATTTGAATACCAAAAAATCTATAAGCTGGAGAATTAGCTATTGTTATATAATAAAATGACATTTTATAATTATTCAGTTTTTGTTGAGTATGATTGGTCATTCTTTACCTAAGGCATTGATAGAAACTATGGTATAATGGGACCACATACCTCCCAGGAAGTCTCACTTGATTGCTTCAATTATGCACACGAATGTATTTTTAAGAATCAGTATCAGGGGCCCCCAGTCTTGCACACAAAAGAGCTTTATTTTACATGCACACATATGTGCAGGCTTAAGAATAGGTTTGTACTGGAACGTTTGGTAAGCTAAATTTCTTTAAAATTACACCTGATTTATTAGCTAATACAAGTGATTAGTGTTTTGCCACTTACTGTCTTTCTGTTACATAGCTGTTAGAAAGGAGCTACAAACATGGTGCGCAGAGCTGGGGAGAAGGACAGAGCAGAGCAGGCCTCTCAGCTGGTCTGCTGCGGCCCTGTGTCCAGACCTGGAAGAGGGGACCTAGTTCTGTGCTAGGATCCAAAGTAGACGAGGGCAGCCTACACTGATGTGCCAGCGTTGTGTGCTAGGAACTGGAAACGTTAGTGGTTTGTGACTGTTCAGTACTCATGGAGCCTGATTTTGTTTACATGGTCAGAAAGAAGTAAATGGCTTCTACATGAGTAAGACCAGGGTTCTTCTAACTTAAGCATGTGTAGAATATTTTTTGGTGAATGAAGTGTGTCCTGTACTCCTGGGATGGTACTTTGGCATATTGTCTGCCCTTGCAGGAGTATTCTGTATGGCATCAAGAGTCCCAGTCATGTGACCTTTTGTACTTTGCGTACCATCCCTCCTCCCTTTTAAATGTAACTAAGCCACTGCTCTTGTTTATTTGTTCCCGGAGATGGGCCAACTAGGACTGGGTTTGTTTTCAATTTTTATTTATTTTATGTGTATGGGTGTTTTGCCTGCATGTATGTGTGTGTGTACCACACTTGTACAGTGCCTGCAGAGGCCGGAACGAAGCAACAGAGCCCCTGGGACTAAAGTGACAGACAGTTGTGGGCTGCCAAATGGTACTGGGAACCAAACCCAGGTCCTCTGCAAGAGCAGCAAGTGCTTGCTCTTAACCACTGGTCCATTCTCAAGGCCCAAGTACTGGACTTTTAGTTTGTTGATTGGTTGGTTGGTTTTTGTTAATTTTTTTTTTTAATGGGATCTCACCCTGTCCCTCAAGCTGAACTAGGACTTGAGGCAGTCTTCCTGGCCCAGCCTCTCAAGTGCTCTGGTTACAGCCCTGTCCTCCATATCCTGCTTTTGAGTCATCTTTTGAGCCAACATCTACTCAGTTTATAAACTGTGTCACAGAAAAATTACTTTCTCTTGTGTTAAAAAACCACCATCTTTTTTTTTCCAGAGACATTTTTTTTATTGAGAAAAGGAGAAAAAAAAAAAACAAGTTTCCACCTCCTCCCAGCCTCCCATTTCCCTCCCCCCTCCTCCCACCCTTCTCCCCCTCCCCCCACCCTTCTCCCCCTCCCCCCACTCCTCTCCCCCTCCCTCTCCAGTCCACAGAGCAGTCCAGGTTCCCTGCCCTGTGGTAAGTCCTAGGTCCTCCCCCCTCCGTCCATATCTAGGAAGGTGAACATCCAAACTGGCTAGGCTCCCACAAAGCCAGCACATTAAGTAGGATCAAACCCCCGTGCCATTGTCCTTGGTGTCTCATCAGCCCTCATTGTTCGCCATGTTCAGAGAGTCCAGTTTTATCCCATGCTTTTTCAGTCACAGTATTGAGCTCTACATTTTTCTCCCATCTTGTTTCTTGATGGATTACCAAATTAGTTTGATATAAATTTTGCATACTGTAAAAAGGAATCTTAACTCAGCTTGATGATAATGTACCTAAAAAGTATGGCATAAAGAACTGACCCTCATCAGATGTGGTTGTGAGGCCTATCACCCGGCTCTCAGCAGGCTAAGGCAGAGGGGCAGAGAGGTCAGGGCCAGCTTGAGCTAAATAACAAGATCCTGTCTCAAAGGAAAAGGTAAATAAATGAAATAGTTGCCTGAATTTTGTATTTGCATTCTAATATTCTATCTACTTCAGAAATAAAATTCAGGTAGAATGGGATGCATTAACAAATGCGGTATTACACAACAGGACTGAAGATACAAGCCCACGTCATCTTACTTTCAACATAAAAATTCTCTTATTTTCTTCAGGTAGCACAGATCATACCTTGAAACAGTATTTATCTATGATTATATAGAGAGTTGTTGGTCCTCTGAAAGATAACAATACCAGCATGCCATAATTTACTACTGTGAAGGAAGAAAAAAAGCATCTTTGTGTGGTGACCTCATTTCTGTTTAGGCAGTTTAGGATACGGACACACATACTTTAAATATACCACTACCACCTGACAAACAACTTTTAAGAGTAGCCCCCTCCTCAGAATGCCCAGCAGGCTTACACTAAGTCTTTTTCACAGTTACATCTGAGTTCTGTGTCTGCTTTTTACAGGCAAAGCAAGGCAAGCATATTTTATATGGCTGCAGTGAGCTTTTCAATGCGACCCAGTTCATAAAGCAGGTAAAGTGTGCCTCTGTAGTTTGCTCTCAGAGCCAGCACAAGTTGCTGTTGGCTCTCTCTCCTTTGAAAACTATATCACTTCAACTGAATTTAAATCAGCTTAAACAAAACCTCCTCTAGCTCTAAATTTCACCATGGATATAGAGACAGCTCTGGTAAGTAACATTTTTAAAGGGTTAATAATCCCAACTCTTTTGAAAAGGTAATTATTTAAAATTAAAATATCCAAGTAGGCCAGGTTGAATTCAGCATTTCTAATATTCTGTCCATATGTCTGCTGCCGGGCATATCATAGTTGGGTCTCAGAACTCTTCCAGCAGGATGTGCTCAGCTGATATAATTGTGTCCACTTGGAAAGTTAACGGCACCTGTAGCTGTGTCCATTTTCCTATCGTTCTTCAAGTATTGTTCCCACTAATGTTCTCAGCAATTATATTGATCTTAGATTTTTTTTTTTATATTGGTATGCACATGGCCTGATCAAAAATGTCTAAATGTCAGCATCTGGGGTACAGGTAAAGGAGATACAGCTTCTCACCATCGCTCTCAGCCTCTTGGAGTTCCCTATGATTCTAGGGACAAACTCAGGCCAAACTAGGATCCACAGCTTTGATGATGAGGAACTTGAGGACTAACGAGTTTGTGAGGCAAGACTGGGATTCCGCGGCAGATGTTTTACAGCAGGGAAGCATGGGTAGACAAAGAGAGGTGTTCAGAGCAGAGTAGTGCACCCTGGGAATGTGGGTGTGGCCTAGCAGAGTGAGTCTCGGGAAGTAACAAAATATTGATTCTGAGAATTCCATGCATGTATGTATGCACTTTGATCATATCCAACAGCGTCCTTGCGCTTGTCATTTTCACATTTTCACCTTAGTGGAAATTTTTCAAACATGCAGAAAGTTGAGGAGAATTTGCAGTTTAGGTAACCAAGGAAACTCAGTGTGGTTTTCTTTTCAGTGACTCAGCTGTTGCCATGCTACTTCTCTCGTTTCATTGGTCTTTAGAATGTTTGCTTTAATTGCCTTATTGTGTTCTATTCCTAGCCTTCCTGAACTGTAAATATAAGTTCAGTTCTAATTTAAGCTCAGTATTTAAACTGTAAGGTTTAAGTGCCTGGCCTGTGTCAGCTTCATTCAAC